CGCTCTCTGCCCTTCTCCGTCACACCCTCACGCTCTCTGCCCTTCTCCGTCACACCCTCACGCTCTCTGCCCTTCTCCGTCACACCCTCACGCTCTCTGCCCTTCTCCGTCACACCCTCACGCTCTCTGCCCTTCTCTGTCACACCCTCAATGTCACCCCCCCCAGTATCTCTGTCTTGTGCCTCTTCTTTCTGTAACGCCTCACACTCTGTTCTCCCCTCCGTCAGCCCCTCTCTGTCCTCCTCGTCTTCGTCATCCCTCTCTCGCTCTCTCTCCCCTCCTGTCACCATCTCCCACCCTCTCATTCTCTTGTCTCTGTCTCCCCCACTCTTTTTCCTCCTATTACCCTCTGCTGCAGTATTCCCAGTGAAGGGGGTAATGCTGGACTCTGAGCCACCTTCGCGGTGTTGCTCCTGCTGGCCTACTCGGTGGCTGGGGTAGAGACCGTGCCTTCGGGGTGGGTTCTGGCGGAGGGCGAGGATTGGGAATCAAAGCCAGGTCGGTTCCTGGCGAAGTGGAGTGGGGCTGGGGGATGGTCAATGAAAATGCGCCACCCCAGCGCAGCGAGTGAGCGCAGCCTTTTACTCTCATTCCCCGAAGACTACAGCACGCACGCAATCCTCTTCCTTACTCGATCGCTCCTGTCTCGTCGCTGCTCGCGGACAGGATTGTGTGTCCCCTCCATGTCTGCGCTGGCCCTAATAGTGGTGGGATGAGGGCAGGTGACAGATGGCGTTCTGGAACCCCAGTTGAGTTGTTGGCCCTCAAATTCCAGTGGTCAGGCTGTTTTCCCAACAGCAGGCACCTTGTTGTGCTCCCCTCCCTTGAGGCCGTGCCACCATTTGGCCGGTTTTTCTTCCACCGGCCATTCTGAGCCAGGTGACGGCCATTTTGAGCCTGTTGGAGGCCATTTTGAGCCAGGCAGTAGGGATTCCTCCTCCCCTCTCCCCTCCACGGCCTCCCGGGGACACCGTGTTTTAAAAGCCCATCGAAACGAGATTCTTCTCTCTCACACTCTCTCTCTCTCTCCCCCCCCCCCCTCTCTCCCTCCCCCCCCTCCCTCTCTCTCCCCCCCCACTCCTCCTCCTCCTCCTCTCTCTCTCTCTCTACCCCTCCTTCTCTCCCTCTCCATCCCCCTCTCTCGCCCCTCCTCCTCTCCCTCTTCATCCCCCTCTCTTAACCCCCTACCCCCCACTCCTCCTTTCTCTCTCTTTCTCTCCCCCACCCCCCGAACGCTTTGAATGAGTAAAATGTTGTTGTGCAGTCAGGGAGGGTGACAGCCACCTCGTTCCCACTTTTATTTGTTTCTAAAGCACCGTACTTGAACCTGGGGCAAGCAGGGGGTATCCATGTTGTGTGTGGAGGGGAAGTGGACGTGGAGACGCCCATGTTGTCTGTGGGGGTAGCGGCCACGTTGTCTGTTGGGGTAGCGGCGGCCATGTTGTCTGTGGTGGCGGCCATGTCTGTG